GGTTAACTTTGCTGAATGATGTAATGCATTCATTAAGTGCAATCTGATGACCACAATTTAAGATCTAAACACCAAAAACTGTCTTATTTGGGGGCCAGAGAGATGCCTCAAGTAGAGGCACTTGCCACTAAAACTGATGGCCTGTGTTCTATCCCTGGAGACCACATTGTGGAAGGAAGTAATTGACTCCCATATATTGCCGCTGCCCTCTATATGTGTGTGATTGCATGCCTGTGTGCACATGTTCACAAACAAACATACACAAACAAAACAAAATAAATGTAAAAATATTTTTTAAAGTTTTACTTGGGATTACACTTAATAAATTATTTGAAAAGAATTGTTATTATAATAAAAATGAAAATTTGCCACATTTATTTAAGTGCATATAGACAGGGCATTCTTACCATTTTGGTTTCTTGTGGACCAGTATGGCTGTATTAATCATTTTATGTATCCTGTGGAAGTCTATTGTCTCCCATGCTTCCACTCAATGATCCTATCTTACCAACAAACACATACACCTGATAAAAATCATGTCTTCCTTCTTTCTTAACTTATTTCAACAGAGCAGTACATATTCCGCAGAAGTATTGACTGATATTTTATGTCTGTTTCTCAACATTCATTAAAATTTTGAAAAGGAAGACATTCTGATACCATCAAAACCCAAGCAACAATAAGAAAAATTATAAACAATTATATACCAACAGTCAAATAACCTAGAGGAAATGGATAAATTCCTTGACATATTTAATCTGCTAGGACTGAATCATGAACTACAAATACAAGTAAAGGAAAAGGGTATTGAATTAGTGTTGTGGTTTGAATAAAAAATGTCTCTCGTAGGCTCTTGTATTTGAACACTTGGTCCCCAGTTGGTGGGGTTATTTGGGTAGGTTATAGAATCTTTAAGAGTTGGAGCCTGGCCACTGGTGGGGGCGGTGTCTTTCAGTGTTTACAGTCTTTTGTCACTTGCCTGTTCTGTTTCCTGTATATGGCTGAGAAATAACCATGTACTCTCTCAATTCCCTCCCACCACCATGCCTTTCCTGCCTTTATGGGCATCTAGCCCTCTGGAGCCATAAACCAAAATAAGCTATTCCTTAAGTCGATTTTGTCATGGTATTTTATCTCAGCAACAGAAAAGTAATTCATGCAAAAAGCCAAGAAAAAATATAAAGCCTCTCATCAAATAAATAAATAA